GGTTAGCGTAACGATTGAAGAAAGCGGTTGGGAGCTGATCGAGGGGGGGGAGGGGGAGTGTGGTGACAATGAGAGAAAGGGAGGTGAAAAACCACCCTCCCCCTCCCCAAGAGATCGTCTTGGATCCGCCTATGTGTCCTAGTCTTTCGATCCCCAACCCGGTCCCCAAGCCTCCCTATTCCTGACCCCCAAACCTCTCATCCCCTACCCCCAAGCTTCCGATCCCAACCCCGAATCCCCCTCATCCCCAATCTCAATTGACCCCCTGATCCCTCATCCCCACAAGATGGACTGAAAAATGAGGCTGGAAGAGGTAAAAACCTATTCCCGCAAATAAAAAAATCAACTCAATTTTGTAGATTCATAAAAATCTTGTCATGAAAATGCCCCTCTTCACAAAACCTATGAATGACAAGGCCTTTTCACACTTTAAGAAACTGGGAACATAACTAAATTTTAATTGTCTTTCACCCATAAAAACGGTATTCGCCTGGACACAAACAAACGACCTGTTTTAAAGCCGAAAAAAAATTTACAGGAGCAAAAATTCGAAAAATCTGTAAATTTTTTCAAATTTAGTTATGTTTTTGCAAAAAATTTCAGCATTATTTTTGTAAATTTTGCTTCTGCAAAAAATTTTAGCATCATATACCGAACCTTTTTGGAGCCCATATTTCCTTCGACAACAATTAATTTCGAATTCTCATGCAGCCTTTTCTTGGTTCGATCGAAGAGTGCCTGCTGCCAGCGATATCTACAAAAAAATCTTATAACAGACTTGTGTGATCACAAACAATCCCAAGACTCTCAGTGTTACCAAGATTTCTTCCTTTGTCCCATTTTTGAGATTTTCTTATAATGGCTAAGCCTTGTCAACTGTGCTGCTATCGAAAGAATCACTGAATTAGCTAACCCTTCGGAAAACCAAAAAGGCTTAGTGACCCCAGCAGAAGACTCAACCACCAAGCACTGCAGCACTGGCCAAAGCACCTGGGCAGCCAAGCCAAGCCGAGCCGAGCTCTAATAATTGTCTTCGCTTTAGACCCGAGCTTTTGCAGCTCTGGTGGTTCTGCCGTCCCCTCCCCCTCCCCCGTCCCTTGCCCCTCCAGCGGAAAACTCATTGCTCTCCCCCTCCCGCCCTTGTATCTGTCTATGAATTGACATTTTGAAGCAATTAAAGCCTTGCGAAATGCCTTTGTTGGAAGAGGCACTGAGCTGCTGATGATGATTCTTCAAGAAAACGAAACGAACGTGAGGATCGCCCTCCCCCCACAACATGTTGACCGCCAAACGATGCAGCATTGGTCAAAGCAATTAAATAAAGTTTTGACAACTCTATCTTCGAAAAAACCAAAGTAAGTTACAGCTTCTTAAGCAAAAATTAAAAAAATCACAAAAATCAACAGTACCCTTTTTCCCTATACGGCCATGGTTCCGGATAAGTATCCGGATCAATCTTCAGCTTGCTTTTCTCGACAACTGTCCGTTTTTGATTAAGAGTTTGTGCTGATCCTCCTCCACTAAGCATTGATGATACGGTCGAAGCAAGCAATCGTGGTGAAGCGCGTCCCCATATGCACAAAGCGCCTGCCATGCTTTTTTTCCCTGCAAAAAAAAAAAAAAAATGATAAAGAAATGGATTCCTTATCAAACAGCACAGTCATTGCATTGACGAGGTCCAGTTATAGTGCGAGAATGGGAATGTATACGATTTAATGGACCGAAACATTCCTATTTATCTAATTTTTGGCATGATTTTATATATATTTTTTTGATATATGATATGTATGTTATTGTATGTATGTATGTATGTATGTATGTATGTATGTATGTATGTATGTATGTATGTATGTACGGTATGTATGTATGTATGTATGTATGTATGTATGTATGTATGTATGTATGTATGTATGTATGTATGCATGTGTGTATGTATGTATGTATGCATGTATGTATGTATGTATGTATGTATGCATGTATGTATGTATGCATGTATGTATGCATGTATGTAAGAACACCCATACTGATGGCTCAAGCGGTCTTGCTATCCCCACATATTTCTATTAAAATCTTTATTACTCAAACTTTGAGTAAATGGATGCCTAATAAATAAGTCAAATAAGAGTCAAAACCCCCTCCCCTCTCTCGTATTTGCTCTTTATACGAAGCAAAAGCACTCAAAAAGTATTCCGAACGGTAACAGATATCAACAGCAACAACCACTCTTGGCAAGGCTGTCGATGGCTCTTTTTTATTACAGGCAGGATCCTTCTCTCTGGACAGTTGCTTACAAGCAAGCTGATGGCGAGTTTGACTCCTTGGTTTATATATAAATACCAATTTACCATAAAAAAAAATGAACAAATCGTTGAGAAAATGATACTTCCATCGTAAGAATTGAAGCCCTCTTTCTCAATGACTGCACTTTTTTTCCAGTTAGCGGCCAATATAGTAAATATATAGCTTCAACCATATATTCAGAACACTTCGCGCAAGTTTAAATCCGTATCTTGCTTCCCTAACAGGGCACCTGACCTCTTTTTCCATTTGCTTTAAGATCAGTGCTATATCACCCAGTGGGGCCCCATACGGGAAATCATACACCTAAAATGAGTATCGATTTGCACTTGCGCCATGACTTAAGGCACTTCAAAGATATTTTTAGCGACGTGGATATTTCGCTTGCCGGAAAAGCTGCGAGGCTGAAAGTTTGTTGACGATCCTGACGTTCATAACATCCTCTCAAATTTGGGTTATTAAACCAAACCATGTATACCATTTACCATCGCAATCATGGATGATGCAGAAGAATACAGTAAAGTCTTTTAATTTATCAATATTTTCATTTGAAATTTGCCAACCGGAACGCAGTGTAATGATACCTTTGGCACTATGCACAATTGATGAGAAGAGAAAAAAAAAACTGTACAGCCTCCTAAATGAAATAATACAAAACTCTGTGAACTTCCAGCTCCTTTACATAGCAAAATCCTTCCAGAAATACTGAACAAACAAGCAAAAATCATGTTCGATAACAATAACCATAATGACTTGTGATCACACCAGAACCAATCAGTCAAGCTAAGCAAGCTGAAATTTTGCGAGGATATTCTATGCCTATGTGCGATCCAAAAACGCCCTGGTCCATCAACTTAGAGCCAAGGCCAC